TTTTTAACTGTATTTTATCATGTATCTGTCATCTATGTACCTATATTTTATTTGTAACAATAAAGCGAATATACATATATTTTTTTCTGATTTATTATGATTTTTTCTTGGCGAAAGTGATCGGCGTTACAAATTGTAACGCGCATGTGATCAATGATTTATGACCATATTTAATTCTATTATAAATAAAATATTTATATAAGCTTATATGATTATTCATCTAGTTGAAGAATGGCATTCGCATATGAAAGACGTGAGGGTCTCTGTTCGTATCTTGCTTCATCAAATGATTTTATAACGTCCTGAACCAACAACTAAATTTCATAATCAATATGCAAGATCAGATTTTTAATGCATGTAACACAAAACTTTGCATTAACACTTACCACCCACTTTAATATAGATTCGTAAAAATATACAAAATCTCGCATCTCTGAAAAGTCCCGTGGTAAATTGGCGTTATCAACCTCATTTAATCGAAACTTTTCTAAATTGATATCGAAAATAAAATTAATAAAATTATCAATACTTTCTCACAATCTAAATAAAAAAGTAAACGTACCACAATAATCAAGATAATATAAACGAATACGTAGTCGAAAACTCTGTTCACCAAATACGAACAACTTCTTTGGCAAACGCCTACGGTTTTTAATAACTTCCTTTACAATTTCTGAATATAGATTTTTCAAATTGTAAGAAATTTTTTTAGCATCAGTAATTTCCTTTTCCACCTTCTTCTCAGCAGGCCTTGATCCTTCGAAATACACAAGTTGGAATTTATCATTATTGGCCGTAAACCCAACACCATCAGCTTGGTTCTTATTAATATGTTTTCTGGATGGAATTTCTCCATATTCGTAATGTATTTTCGGTAGATACCATAGAGCACAATCTAAACACGGATGTACGAATGCATTAAGGTGCGCTTGTTCAATTGTTGCAATATCTAAAAGAGGGTTTTGGGCTCCAAGGGTAAATGCTTTTATACTATTCAAAAAAAATATTAAAAAACAACTAGTAAGTCTGCTGATGGATTCTGTATTTATCACGAGTTTTAATTGAGTTATTATTACACCATGCACAATATAAATTGCTACTCTAAACATTACACCACGTGATCCCAGTACTTACAACTGCGGTAATGTACGACGTAAAATTCGTACTAGTGCAGTCATTAGAGTATTGTTTTGTTCTGAAGGTCGTAAATCATCAACTTGAATTTGCCACTCATCATCGGAAATATTTTGTGAAAAGAATTGTACTAAGAATTGGTGTACACCATCAGGAATCAAAGATTCTGTTATCTTATCCATCTCTGATAGATATGGCGTTGCAATCGATCTTGGAATCCTTCTGAGGAAGGAAGAACATAAGCGGAGATCAATCAAATCACCATCAGGATATTGTTTCGTATACTCTAAACAAATATTTTTTGATTCCTCTGAGCATTCAACAACGTTTCCCAAGAAGTCCGTTATTACCTGCATGGTGAAAAATAGTCAATAATTTACAAACGCATTTTTTTGAATTTTTGTTACAAGTTACTTACCTTATCAACTTCTCCTTCAGTTTCAATATCATCCTTGATCTCATTATCGGTGTTACCACTTTGATTTTCATTGATAGCTTTCGTTGAAGCAGATGAAGAAGCTCCATCCTCATCTTCCTCTTCTCGTGACTTTTCAGGAAAATTACCTGATGCAACTGTAGCTTCATTGTCATCATCTTCCGAATCAAACCAACGAAGTTTTTTACTTTCAAGTCTTTCGTCTAAATTTTCATGAAAACCGACATGCGCCTGGCGTTTCCTTTTCTTTACTTTTTTCTATTATTCGATGTTGGCTTTGTAAGTACCATCTCGGTTTCTTAAGTTTAAATAAAAAATTAACATACATCAGCTTTCCGGTTATTTTTTTCATCCTCATACTCCTCCCAGTCGTCCTTATACTCGCAAGTATCCAATTTCTCTTTTAAACTTAACAATTTTTCCGAAGTGGGATCGTCTTGCAAAGCTTCACGTAATCGTAACCATAATCGAGATAACCAGATTTTTTACTGCGATATTTGAACTTCGTAAAGAAATATGCCGGGCGAGGATCTTTGCTATTTTTCAAGAAACTTTTTTGCTCTTCGCGAACCTCGTACGCTCTCATGTAGTCTAGGTATTGGTATTTAACACAACGCGTTTGAAAATTAAGATACGTAAAAATAGATAAGCCGTTATAAAAAATTAAATTCGAATTTAAAGAATTTTGGTAAAAAAAATCTAAAGTATCATTATTTTTTGGGGGGGAAATTTAACCTGTGCGTAGGGGTATCCTTGCACAACTAATTATTCGCGCGAATGACGTTTCGGGAATGTTCGCGTGATACACCAATTTTCAAATAATTTATGTGCAGATCACAATATAAATTCTGAGAAAAAATGTTTTCTTATTAAAGCACAGCTGGTTTACTCAAGCAGAAAAAACTGAGGTTATTCGCTTGTATTCTGCGGATGTTTTCATACACAACCCCTGCGCAAGCGTCTGCTAGGTATTAAGTTGAAGGTCGGGAAAAAACTGAGGTCATTCATCTGAATAAGCGGGGACGTTGTTACCATACTTTGGGAGTCTGTCCGTAAAGAGTGCGCTCGATCAGATGGATACGCTTCAACACCGGCTGTGTTGACTTTACTTCTATATCACATACTAAACATACAATATAAATTTCATATTATTTTAATATATAAACCCAACCACTGTCAAAAATTAAATCGTGAAATCATGCTTCTTCGGAAAGTATTTTTCTATTTCCTTTATCATGAACATTTGACTGAAAAAAATAACTTCGTAATGTCTACTTTCCAGTTATCTAGATTTCTGGTCAGATTTATTCAAAAAATGAAGCTATTAGTATAGAAAAAGAAAGTGTCAAATCGCTAATAGGACATTGAGAAGATGAGTACATGATAAATTAGAAAATTCATTTATTTGTATTACGCTACGATTATACATAGTAAAAAATGGTTTCTTTCTCTATTTTATCTACCCATTTCATCAATTGTAACCAGAAATAATGGTCACAATTTATTGAGTCAACTTCTGGGCTTGCAAACTAATGACTATTCTTTCGTACAGATTTCCGAGAAATTTATTAGTATCGCGAAAGGCAGGCAACATAAACTTTCAGCAGGTTTTTGCCTTTTTGTTAGTTAATCAACTGATTTATACTCACTGACAATGAATTGGTGAGATTTTTAATCCGTTTTTGACATTACATATTTCATAGAGGTACAACTGATGACCACTTTATTTTATCCAGAATTGATAACGAATGAGGCCGAATTATGAATAGTGTTAGTATAGATAGTTCGAGAAACTTATAGTGTGAGCAATAGAATATGAATAATAGATATATTTAGTTATTTTTGATTTTTATTACAATAAATAAAGCAAGCCTGCTAATTCGATTTTTAAAATATTTTTTTGTGTGGTTAACCTTTTGAATATAACTTGTTTTGTAATAAAACAATGTTGAACGATCAATTAACAATTAATACCTTGAGAAAGTTAAACTCTAGGCTTGCATCCGAGATTACTGAACTTAGAAAAGAGAATGCCGAAATTCTAGAACTTAGAAAGAAATTTGCTGAAGTTGAGGCCGAGAACATCGAACTTAAAGCTGAGAACGTAAAATTAAAACAAGCTTTGGAAGAACATGAATCCAGATTTGCGAAACT